GCCCGTCTGGCACCAACAACCATGCCACGCTCAAAATTGCTTAAATCACCTTTCTTTCCCATTCTGACATTCAGTTTGGAGTTCAGGAGATTGTGTTGACCAGGATCACACCCCTAAATGCATTGAAGCAGCTGCCATGTGATTGGTTGATTAGATAATTGCATTAATGAGAAATTGAACAGGTGTTGCTAATAATCCTTTAGGTCAGTGTATATATATATAAACAAATGTAACTTTTTATACCTCTTTAACACCTTTTCAAACTTCTGCCTTGGGTTTCACCTCACCCCAATCTCATTGGCTGTTGCTCTGACACTCACTCCTACAAGATTTGGAGTCCCTGACACCACCAATCAAAAGTTTTTGGACACCGCAGGTTCTACCACTTTTAACCTCCTTTACATTTATTTCATAAACTACAGATTTTTTATTTGGTGTGCATTGGAAGATTGAGAGAACAACTATAAATGTAAACACAAGTCAAATGAAACAAGTTTCCTTTACAACATGGAAACAGTATGTAACAGTACCCGTGGCTAGGCTGTCCTTTAACTTTAAATGCACTAGTTAACCGTATCTTCCCATGAAAGAGAGCAATATTTAATGTCCCTTGTAGAAAGAATGACTTGAATTTCCCCTACTGTTATAACTGCTAGAGGAGGTTACTTTGATGAATTAAAGATATGACATCTGAACATACTGTAAATTTATTTGTTAACAAAGGATATTGAGTGTAGTTTTAGTAAATGTTAAGTGAGTGTCATGGAAATGTAGAAAATCTCAGTGTGTGTACAACTTTTGACTGGTAGTGCCTGCTAGATATCTGACGGGCATCTGTGATGCATTGGTGACTGCGTTGGGTCACGTTTTTGAACAGTTCAGTCATAGCAATTGAGTGTCAATTTGCCAGCACTGACAAATTTGCCTCCAATCTGGGATTTTTTTTGGAAGATCTCCAAAAACTGTCAGTGAGCAGTAAATCACAGCTAAAATTGTGTAGTGTGAACTTACCTTAAGTAAAGGCTACACATAGTGAGTATGCTAATTACCTTGTGGAGGGTTCTGGCTAAAGAATATCCCCCAACTGTCTCATTTGTCCTTCCTTAAATACCAAACCAAGCAATGGGGTGTCTTTGAAGATGGAGATACAGCACTCTCTCACCAGATGTTATCGTTATTGTTTTACTTAGAGATATTTGTTTTAGATTGTGGTATCTTTCCGATCTCCTTCAGGGTATTCTGATAAGTCATTGGACATATAAGTCCTCAAATCAGTCAGTTGATTTTTAATGGTGGGGTCATTAAGGTCTTTCGTTCACTGATAGGCAGAGCCTTCCAACAAGGCAAAATCTCTCTAATTCTCTTTTCATAATATTATGATGCATTGTTTTAAGACTGAGACCATTCAGATGAGACCAAGAATGAGTATGTACATTGATTACATTAACACCAGACGATGCTTTTCCCATTTTGGCTTTCTTCATAACCGTTTGGGACCTGGAACAGGGTCACAGGAGCAGGAAGGTAGGGGAAGAGGGCAGGATGTGTTTATGATCAGCAAGTCTGCCTGTGGGTTCTTTCTCATTCATTAAGGGTTGGCAAGGGCAGTGGTGGCTTAATGGTTAGGGAAGTGTACTCATAATTGAAAGATTGGAGGTTTGAATCCCCAACCAACGAGGCACCACTGAGGTACCCTGAGCAAGGTACTGCCCCTAAGCACTGCTCCCTGAGTGCTGAATTAGCTGCCCCCTGCTGTGTTGCATATGGACTAAATACAGAGAACACATTTCATTGTTGTGCTGTTGTGTGTCAACAATGACCACTAAATACTAGAAAAAATTACATTTTTGGTTTGGGAGGTTAAAGGGACCCTTGAGAAATGTCCAATATTTCTCAGTCTTTCCCTATTTTCTCTTTTCATTTACTTTAAAATTTAGCCAGGAGGTATCTTGGTTGCATAAAAACATTATGTGCTGTGCAAAATAAAATATTCTATTGAGTGTTCTGTGTAATTTCCAGAGTGATCAAAGCTGAAAAAAACACCTACAACTTAACCAACAAAAAGTAAGACTTGCATGTCATGTAATTCTCCCACGTTGCTTTCTTTCTCTGATGGCTGCATCTTGAATCTTTCAGGTAATTCTGTGGTCACAAAACATCTCCCCTGATCCACAGGAAACTGCACCACTTTGCATGTACTAAGGCTGTATTTTATCAGCAAACAGAAGGGGCATGTTGACGTCTCATAATAACATTCCTGACATTTATTTTCCAGCAAAATCTATGATCAATTAAACCTTTTTAACTGATTAGGTGGTCTTTTAAATTGAATTTCTGCTCATGAGGTGCAAGTAAATCCTTTTTCCATTAAAACTGCTCATTTATCACTGCACTCCGGCACTCTGAGAAATTTAGTTCTCACTATCTCCATGGAAATCATCTAAGTGCCTAGTATAAAGGCAACATTACCAGACTCCAGATGCCTGGCCTATAGAACCTTTGTAATAATAATTTTAACTATATTAACTATATTTCCTATATCTTTCAAAAAGATTTAAAATTTAGTATTTCAGGTGTGATGATTTGTTTCTTATATTGGTACCAAATATTTAGAGTGTTGTTTTGACAAATTAGCCTAAAGATTTTTCTATGTATCTCTTTCAAGCACTTCATATCTTTGAAAAGATGCCTTCAGATGTAGGATTTGATGTGCCTTTCCATTATATTAGGGACAGGACAATATTAACATTATATGGAGGTTCTTGCTTAGACCGTAACACAAGTATGGATTCTGCATACAATCAAACTTCAAACATGTCCGGTGGCTGCAGGCCACAAATTCCTATGCCTTTCTCCCGTGATAATATATCACCATCTACCAACATCAAATCCCCATTCCCAACATTAGGCCATTTTTAGTTCATAATATAGATATATCTTTTATTAGAAATGAGACACATTCAGTTTTTGTGCTCCGAAACTGTACATTAACAAAGAGTTGCAATCAATAAAATAAAAGAGACAAAACAAAAGTCTATTTCAGAGAAGGCCGGGGGGAAAGTGGCTAAGGTACAGACAATGATATTAAAACACACACCATTACATTAGTTACAGAACACTATTATAGTCCAGTAACCCAAAAAATTGGGGGGTGGGAAAAAAAAAATAAAAGAAACATGAAAATCCTAAAACACAGTAGAAAGATATGTATAGGCTAAAATTCATTCTTTGTTATTCTGTTTAAATAATTACAGTACTGTACAGCAGGACTCTCTATAAAGAGCTTTGTGCTTTCTCTGAGTGCAACCAAAAAAATTTGAATTACTGTCACAGTTTCTGCAGTTTCAAATGTATATATTTATAAATGTTCATTTTAACAAATAAGTATTTATATATACTTTGTCAAACATTTAGTCCTTTAAATCTTTTTCCTGTGATCCAACCCTTTCACAGGGCACTCCACATCTGTCTGCATGTGAGGCAGCCGCCAATGCCTGCCAGCACTACGCCGCTGTCAGGGCCACCACCACTGCACCCATTGTAGGGGGCCTTGCAGAGGGTGGCCAGTGTGGCGCCTGCTGCTGCGTAACAGTCTTGCTGAGGCAGTGGTCCGTTTTTCCTTTCATTCCACAGGGCAGTGCATCAGGCTCCTTGCATGGACAGCTAACATGCTCGCTGGGATTGAGTCGCCAGGAGTGGAGCATTTTCCCAATCCACCTGCTCTTGTCCACTGTCTGGCCTGAATGATGTTTTGAGTTTAAATTGCTTGATTGTTAGAATTTTAGTATTACTAGTTCACATATTTCTAAGAGACCAAAAGGAGGAACTGGTATATCAGTAAAGATGAGGGGAGGGTGTAAATGTGTGTTGTTATAATATAGATAATATGATACAAAACAGTGAAACAGTAACAATTAGGGCCATTGTTTTTTTTTCATTGTAATAATGACTGATGAAATCCACTGTAATAGACTGTAGACAGCTTATTATGCCATATAGGCCTTACAGTCTTCAGCTGACTCATTACATTAAGCAGAAAAAATAACAGTATGTAAATCAACAAGAATGGAAAAGAATAATAATGGAAACAGACCAGAGTTTGGTTTTCCCCACATATGGGGAGGGGGGAGGGTGGTCCCTCTGTGTCTCACTTGCCTGACCACAACCAACCAATGAAAGAGACGTTGCAAGGGAATCCTACCCTTGTTTAGCACTGACAGAATGCTGAAGTCTTTCTCTGCAGAAACACGTGGAACCTGTATGTTTCTTTCTTGGCATCAGTTCACACTCCTTTCCATAACTTTTTCATAGAAAAAAAGTCACTTTTCGATGTTCTGTCCTTTTGTCAGTATAAGGAAAAGGCGATTCTGGTATCAAAGTAAAAAAAAATAATAATAAATAAATAAAGAAAGGATAAGTAATTTCCCCTTCTAATTCTCTTTCTAAAGATGGAGTTGAGGGTCCTCTGCATTCTGTAATTCTCTCTTTCTTTTGGTCCTCTTTCCCCTGTACTGTAAGTCTGTTAGTTTCAACCTCAAATGAAATGAAGAGAAGATGGGGCTCTACTGGATGTTTTCAAGCTCTGGTCAGACTTCTGTCTGCAGGTCGATGATCTCCTGGCCAACCAGGGGTATGGTAGCACTGGCCTTTTCCCACTCCACACTCTTAAGCTCTAATGGTGAGGCCTGAACAGGCTCCAGGTCCTTGCGCACCCAAGAGGGGGGAGAGTGTGTCTTGCGAATGCCCTCCCAGGCCCGTTTGCTGGGAGTCTGCTGTTTGTCCTGTTTATAGTAGAGGTCACAGTGTCAGGTTAAGCATGTGTCCAAATAGATCTCAAAATACATACAAAAAAGCAGCTGAAGACAATGCGATTTCCACTGCCACATTTTCATGAGACATTTAATGGGGCATTTTTTACATCCTATAATTGCATACAAACAAAACTAAAATTTAAAAATAAACAGCTAGAGATAGTGACAACTAGCACACAATGCAGAAACACATTAAAGAACATTACATAATAAAGAACGGAGGAGGAACACCATTTAGACACTCACACTAAGATTGGTTTTGTCACTGCCGCCAGAGGAAACACTCCATCGCTTACCAGGCTGCAGGGAAAACAGCAAGTCAGTGTCACTGATTGCATAATCATTACATTTTTATTTCATTTTATGTGACTGAGAATATTTTGTCTCACTGATGGATTGCTCTTTTAGTGTGAGACAAAAAATGAAATCCTGACTGACAAGCATAAACTGTATATTATTCATCTTACAAATTAATTAGATCCTTAACCTGTTCACAGAGAATTCAAAACTGATTTTAAATTCTAATCTGATAACAAATCTACAATAAATATGTTACACTACACTAAATTAAAATGTTTTACGCTACAGAAAAAATATGTCTGTTTCCATAAATTGTCAGTGTTAAAAAAGTGCAACACTGTTGGTTGACTTCCATGGCTGTCGTCAGTGTATGTGTAGCTGTCTAGACGAGCATGATGAGAGTGTATTAGAGTGTCTCACCTTGCCATCAATGGGTGGGGATTCTCGGTCTTTCTCAGCATGTTGCAGCTTCCTATTTAGGTCCTGAAACATGTCTTGATGTCGTTTCCGTGTGTGCATGATCTTCTAGATGTGAAAGAAAAAAATTACAACACTCAACGATATTCTGAAGTCACGTGTAACAGCATACATACAACCAGTAAGCCTTTACTTTTCTGAGTGTTATTCATCCATCCGTTTTCCACATGCTGATCTAATACAGAGCTGCAGTATACCAGGAGCCAAACCCCAGGAATGATGTGGGGTGGAAGACTTTGAACTGGATGCCAGTCCATTGAAGAACACTCATAGACACAATCACACACTATGGGCAATTTAGATTCTTCACTTGCCTTAACTGGCCTTGATCCACTAAGCCAAATGTGCCATCTGGTAGTGTCATTATGACTAGGAAATTGAATAAATTCATAAGCATGGATTTTTGAGAGCATACAGACATGTGCACAAAGGACAAAATATATTACCTCAAAGTCTAGTTCAGCATAGCGAGATTTCCGTCTCTGCAAAGGAACAGATAAGGCCTTTAGAGTGAGCTGATGTGGGCGAGTTCAAGCCCACACATGACACAAGGCCTTGACCAAGAGTGAGAGACACGACTGAGTGAAAAAAGACTCATCTGCTAAACTTTAATACGCTTGCAACTATTTAAAATGCTTTATCTTATTTAAAATAAATGGTTTAATACCCAATTCTCATAAAATACTACAAATACCATTAATTTTCAATGGACCATGCTCCTAACATATAAGCAGCATAAAGTTAAACAAAGGATATATTTTCCTGATTCAGAATTAAGTAAATGTACAGAAAAATATCTAAAATTCACTTCAGATGAACTAGAACACTTTTTAGTAATTTTAAAATAAAAATTCCATTGTGATTGTGAATACTGCAGCTCTTCTTGCATACTGCATAACATTTAGTAAAGAGTTTTCCTGAATAAATCTCCCTGCTTTTAGATGTCAGCACAACTGTTTGGATGGTGCCGCCCCCACTTCTCATCTCCCTCAAAGAGAAACATCAAGCGCTGGGGTGGCGCCTGCTGTGACCTTGAGAGAGAGTGGGGGAGGAGATGGAGGAGCATAAAGCATGGTGGTGGGTGGACAGCAAATCAATTTTCACCAAACACAAGCCAGTTCTTAGTGCCACGGAGGACGTCATGCAGTATACGCAGCATGCTTTCTCTTTGTGTTTTATGCACATGATTAGAGAGATGCCACCCATTTTTTGCAATCCCAACTCTCCTGCCGAAGCTGTTGTTAAGTCTAATACCCTATCACCATTGCAATAAAAAGATCATTTGCACTGTCAGGCTGCAGGTCCCTCACCCTCACACAAATTACCCTGGCAGTGGTCCATTGCACCTATCACATGCAGTTGGAGGTAATTAAAAGTACTTCATATGATCAGTGTTACTTCTGTTAGCAAAGTTTTAACAAAAACCCAGGTCACACACGGTATGTGGTACTTATTCTTGAGGTGAAAGACACACCCATGGTAGCTGGTAAACCTTTAAAATAAAATCAATGCAGCATCTGGATACAACATATTAATGATTAATGCAAAGCATTTAATAATATACTTCATTCTTCTAAGGTAAAAAAAAAAAATCTAAAAGAACACTGATTGGTTAAATAAAATAATGGTAATGAGGTGCAAAAGTTTATATTTGGAAAAAGTCACATAGTACTGCCATACAGACTTGCATGACCTTTTTGGAGTATCAGTTTTATGGAGGACAAAGGCAAAGATGTCAAGCTGACATATCAAGACAGTATGAGACGACAATAACTATCAAAAAACATGAGGTGTCATTATCCTCTATTTTAAAACGAATGTGGAGCCCTGACACATTTTCCTGATTAAAATTTAGCTTGTTATTTCTGTCTTAATTGTTGTTGATTTGCTTCATTAATCAAAAAAATTGAAATACACAAACCCCAAAGAGAAGAATAAAATATAAATGAATGACACAGAGAGCCCCCTCCTGCTAACTCAGATACCTCATGGAGCCTCTCACCTCCAAGGAGCTCATGGAGAGTGTTGACACAGTCTCACTCTTGGACATCATACCGGAGTTCCCTGAGTCACCAGCCTCACCAAGGCTGTTAGTCATCTGTGACTCACTGGATATGTTCTGCGCATTTTGGGCAGGTGCCTCCTTCTCCGAGCAGGATACACTGACATGTTCAGCAGGCAGGGCCTTGAGGCTGAAGCCCGGTGCTGGCTCTGCAGCAGGGTTGCTCAGGTGGATGAGTCGGGTCTGGGGCAGCTGCTCGATATTCATGTTATATTTTCCAGGGTCCTCCTTGGGCTTCGCCCGCAATGTGGATGTGTTACTGGGCAGCAGCACATAGCTGCTGTTTTCGGGGGCTGCGGGAGCTTCGGCAGGCCCACAAGTCAGATCTGCATCCATCTGCTTGAAGAGCTCCCCATCACAGATGTAGATGGACTTAGCGCCAGGCAGCTCCCGGGCACCAGCACCTTTGTCTCTCTTCAGAGTGAGCGTGTGACTGGCATAGTCAGCCACATTCTGTAGATGCACCTTAGCCATGCTGGCGGGCAGAGTATTGAAGTTCGAACCCTTCTGAAGTGTGAGCTGTTGGGGTCCTGTTTTCTCATCACCCTGTAGAGAAGGCCGCTTCAGAGTACCTGGTGAAATGAGGATTAGACCCAGAGATCAGCATGAAGATGAAGCATCCATCTGAGACACACTTTTGATAAATATGGAGGTTTGAAGCCTAGGACTGAAATGTGACTGTGTTTCTTTCTTTTAATAACCATTTAAACTAAAAAGGGGGGCTGTTGGTAATGCTCATCTAATCCATACTCCTCCCACACTATCTAACCTCACCAACAATTTCTAGTATTGGACAGATCAACTGGAAATGTGAAAGTTTTTACCTGAATTCAATTCAATGTATTTTATTACGGCACCTTTCACAACAGTCACCCCGAGGCACTTTACATGGGTGTGTTGTGATACACTACAGCATCATTAAGACATAATGCATTAGACCTAGCTGTGACATGTAACTCTGAAACTACACCTAGTTATTCATTGCACTTTCCACTTACATGCCAATTTGCAGAATCTTTCGGCCCCAATCAGGTGGTTACCTGTATTTCTTTGTATATTCCCTGATTTTGCGCCCACTTTCCACCCATAAGAGTAGTGTTTTTTAAATGAGGTATGTGCATTTTCGGCATGTTGCTATCTTAAGGCAGCAAAAAGAAATTGTAGGAAATTTATTTGCTAAACTCATTTTAATAACACATGTCTCCCAATCCAACTTAGTCTTATTCTGTTAGACCTGAGAATTGTCAAATCAAAGCTTCAACTAATTCTAGGGCAGACATGAGGTGTTATGGTAATCTAATTCTTAATATTGTGCAGGGTGAAAACCAATATATATACGAGCAATCCTGCTATAATGTGTGATATCACACTGCTAATCTGTTCTGTAACTGATATTTTACTACCCAAGACCAACATCACATTTGTATTTGCGTGATTTTCAGTCAGAAAGAAAAACATTACGTGAACTACAATGCCATATAGTCCTAGGGAGAAACACTATTGAAAGCAAAAACGCCTATTCAAGTATACGATATTGATATTGTAATTCTGGAATCATTGGAATCATTCTTTTCAACCAGTTATTTTCAGTGAATCAGTCAAACCGGTTTTCAAATCCAAGATAATCAAACATTTTTTTTGCATCCACATATTGAACTTAAATTTTTTTTTAATATTAGACAAATATTTAATTTTCCTTTTTTTTAAAAAAAAATCACTTACATTTGCTTTTTTATAGACATGTAATTGTCGGTGGCTGTGGCTCACTACTTCAGACTCATGATGGCCAAAACAATGCATCATGAACCATTTGCTGTATTTTCTGACCCCACAAGATGGAGCTATCTGTTAAAAAAATGGAGTGAAAGTATGCCCCAAAGTAAACCAAGAGCACCATCTAGAGAGAAAACACAGCAAACGGTTCCTGAAATGTCGTTTTGGACAATCAATAGTTCTCGTGAGATTCGTAAGACCCTTTGGAGATGTTTATGAAGTAATTTATTATTGTATTAGTTTATTATTTAAATGCATATAATTACATTATTGGCCACTGTTATCACTGTTTTTATTATGTTCTTCATGCGGATTTCAGTACAGTGGTACCTCAGAACTCGAATTTAATCCGTTCAGAACTCCGGATCGAATCCTAAAAAGTTCGAGTTGTGATCGAATTTTCCCCATAAGAAATAATGGAAAACCAATTAATTTTGGGGGTTATTAATTAATAATTAATTAATTTTGGGGGTTCCCAGCCCCAAAAAATTACACCTAAATATGTTTTTTTAGCATGAACAAAACACAAAATGAACCAGATAAAACAAGAAGAGCATATGCTGTACTAAACACATCTAAGCACATTTATCAAAATAGTCATTTGTAAAGTAAGAAAATAAATGTATCCAAACAATGTGTAAGGTTAAAAAAAAACAATGTGTCCTGCCCCGATTGTCCGCTCCTTCCATGTGCCACGCCCCCTCATTAACCCCATGTGGAATCCCCGTGTGATCAGCTGTTAACAGATTAAGTTCGAATTCTAAAGTACTACTGTATACCTGTCATGATTACTAAGCAAACTTTAGACTGATATTCAGTCTAGATAATGTTGAAAAGGAACCATCATTAAAATAGCAAAGCTAAGTTTTGTTTCGTATGATGGAGTAAAAATATTTTAGCCCAAATTATTGCAAACTTGCAAAGTGTTGATTTGAAGACTTTTTTGAATTTTAACAGGATCAAGTGTCTTTTTTGCTTTCACTCTGTGGCGTTGCTTCAGTTTTGGGGAGATGTGTCTCAAAACCTACAGTATTCACTTCCAGTTCCTCAGCCATACAGTACTTGTAAAAAGTTTGAGGAAAGATCAAACTTATTGTTGAGTTATCATCCTAACAACAAAAGCATATGTGGCATTGGAGTGTGAAGTCCAGGGAATACAATTAATTGTACGGTTTAGATCTTATACATGATACATTCCTTGATCTACTACATAGAAGTGAGGAAAAGGAGATTTGATGAAAGATGAAATGCAAAATAGTCCAACATTTATCTGTCAGTTATTTTAAAAATTAAAATACAATGTATTACAGTTATTATGATGTAATATTGACATGACAAGATTTGACTGCCAGGACTTCTGCTATTTTCAGACATTAACAGAAAAGTGAGCAGAATTATTTTAGAATAAAATGCATCAAGCAACTGATGATATACTGACTCATTCTATGTTATATACCTTCAAACAAAATCATGTTGAAAAGCTGATACATTCCTTTCCAGCAGCTGATAAGATATGTCTGTGTTTTGGTATTGTGATATCATGCCTGAGATGATAACGTGTGTGGAGTTTAAGTCAAGGGAGGTAATGCTAAGATTATACAATTCCTTGGTGAGACCTCACCTAACCTAGAATATTGTGTACAGGTTTGGTCACCATATCTTAAAAAGGACATAGCGGCCTTAGAAAAGGTGCAGCGTAGGGCCACCAGAATGATTCCTGGTCTTAGAGGAATGTCATAC